TATAGTTGTTGGGAAGGGGAACGGCTAAAAAAATCGGCCCTCACGCCGCGTCAAACGAATGACGCAGGGCTCCTCACGCCCGTTTAACGCCGGCGGAGGGTGGTGTTTCACGCCCCCGGGGCGTTTAACGCCCCATAACGCCGGTGGGCGTGAGAAGTATTACGAGTGCTCTTATCATAAGCTTCAACAAAAAAGTGTTTATAGGGAGTATAGTATGGGAGACGTACACACAAAAAGGGTAGTGATCCCAAGAATATATTCCAAACAAAAGACAGTACGTTCAATGGCACTGTTTTGGTAGTGAAAGAGAGAAGGTTACCTTTTCCTTTTTATGGAGTTAATGTTTTAAATTTAAATTGGACTGTGCTTTCTTTTTCTTTTTTCGAAGTAGATGATGGATCAAAAAGCAGTTAAATTAAAAGTGTCATTCAAATTAAATCTATCTAAATAGACAAGCTTTGTCAGTCTACTTGTTCAGTTTAATTTTTTAAAGTTAAACAGTTTAAACTTTGAACTTCAATTAAACAGAAATTATAATGTATGTGTTTTAATATAAAATGTTTGTATTAAATTTATCAGATTGAAAACTTTTTACTCCCTCCGTTATAAAATTAATTTCTCATTTTGACTTTTGCAGTCAAATTTTTTAAACTTTGACTGCATATTACGGGAAAAATATATATTGAATTTTCATATAAATTTAGTATCAATAGATTCATTTTGAAACATAGTTTTGAAATATATTATTTTGATAATATATATTCATATAAAAATGGAGATATTAATAGTCAAAGTACCACATTGGAGACCGTGAAAAGTCAAATGAGAAGTTAATTTTAGGACGGAGGGAGTATAATTTTATTTTAATGTACTAATATGTTATACAAACCGAATATAACTAAAGTTCAAAATTTGATTAGAAAAAGTAAACCTATAAAAAAGCATTGAGATAGAAATAGTAGTACTCCCTAATATAAATTGAGAGTAATTAATAGCCACCACATGATAGAAAGTAGCTTTTGCTTTTCAGCCCTCTCTTTAGGACTATTCCAACTTCCACTTCAGCTAATAAAGCTCAAAAACACACATAGAGAAATGGTCCCATTGATGTTGGGAGATCAAAGGCATGCATACACTATATATATATATATATATATATATATATATATATATATATATATATATATATATATATATATCATGGAATAAATAAAGTTTAATGCAAAATTAAATAGAAAAAAAGCAACTAAAGATAGAGATATATCAAAGGCAATTTAAAAAGAAAAAAAAAAGAGAAGAACAGAAAAGAAAAACAAACTTCTCAGATGTAATGTGATTGCCTTTAGTCTTCTCTGCAATTACCTATACACACTGCAAGTACAATTATACATTGATCATTTAATTTCTCAAAAAAAAGAAAAAAGAAAAAAACAATTGTGTTTGTTAATGATCCATATGCATATATTAAATGATGTAATCATCATTTTTGTTTAGAACCCACTCATACATGTGTCCTGCAATCATATGTCTCATGCACTATTATTGCAGCTCCAATATGATTATGTCAAGAGTGGAAGAGCAATGCTACGTTCACAAACAGAATGATCACAAACTCCACAAACTTACTATTTATGGTTTAAATTCTCATTTTGAAATTATTTTAGACTATTTAATTTTTTTTATTAAAGTTCACAAATAGTAAGTTTGTGAAGTTTGAGTTTGTGAACCAAGCATTTCTCAAAGTGGAAAAACATACTATAATAACATTATTTTATGAGTACTCCGTAACATTATTTGATTTTGTGAGGTTTTTAAGTTTTTGCAATCAAAATTCATAACTTTTGTCTATTAGTTAAATGGAATTTGTATTTAAAATTGATATAAAAATAATTTTATCAAATTTATCTTGAAAAATATTGTCAAAATTTTGTTTATCTAACTACTAATTTGTATTTATTTATAAGTCAAAAACCGATTTATCAAATGAAAGACGGCAAATAATTAAAATTTGAAAATACTTTGGGAGATAGGGGAGTATATATTTTTCTATTAAAAAAGTAAAGGGTATTTGGGTCAACATAGGGAAGAGTGTGAAACATAAGTTTGCACTTTTATGCTTTAATTTCCCCTTTCATTTAAACCCAAAACTTTGAGCATCTCTTTTATCCAATGGATGCATTGGGAAGTCACTAATAAGAGACCACTTTACTTTCCTTCTTGGAAAATGCTATACTCACAAACATATAGTTCACAAACTTGATTATTGTAGATTTTAAAATAAATTAATTTTTATTATTTGAGTGCATCTTATTTCTAGAAAAGTGTTTAAAAAGTAAGTTTATGAATTTTGTAAATTGTTTGTTTGTGACTCTAGCATTACTCTTCCTTCTTTATTTTTCCATTCTCCCATCCTCTTTAACACTCTTTAATCTCCAATAGCTTCACACATTTCACACAAACCATATATATACTCCGTTCGTCCCTAAATATTTGTCATACTTGTATTTCCGAGGTAAAATATCAAGTTTTTTCAATTCATTTCATTTACATATTGATATAGAAATAAAAAATAAAATTTTATTACATATCAAAAAACTACATAAAAAGTTCTTCGAAATAAGAGGTGTCAAGAAAATTTTATTTTATCAAATAACCAATGAAAACATAAAATTAAACAAAAGTTCGCGCGACTGCTGAAAAAACAAATGTGACAAATATTTTGGGACCGAGAGAGTATATAATGTCTATTATCTGCTCTTCTTCTTCACGTAAAGAAAAGCTCATCCCAAAAGTAAAAGCTATATATCTTCTTCACTTCCTTGAACTTGAAGCTAGCTAGCCAGACTCTCTTTACAGTCCAAATCTACATAATAAAACCTCTTCTCCATTTCTTCAAATCCTTCCAAACAAACAAGTAAAAGAGAAAAAATTAAAGTCAATCATAATGGAGACTTGTACCATTCTTGTTTTCACCACCCTCTACACACTTATCTCTGCTTCTTCTTCTTCTTCTTTGGTCACCGACTTCCACGCCTTGGCGTCTATGAAAGAAGACTTCTCGTCTTCTTCTTCGCCGAACCCAGTGTTGGAATCTTGGGACACTTCGAATCGGAGCTCGGTCTGTTCTTGGGTAGGAATCGAATGCTCCCGAGGGCGCGTCGTTTCGGTCAACCTGTCGGGCTTGGGTTTGACCGGGCCCGTCCCGCCCGAAATATGGGGCATGGACGGGCTGTCGGAGCTCAGGCTCGACGGGAATAACTTTACAGGGGAAATCAAGATTGGGAATGGGATGAAAGGGCTGAGGTTTCTGAACATATCCAACAACATGCTCAGTGGGGGGCTTGATTGGAATTTCTCCTCTTTTGAGAGTCTCCAAGTTCTTGATGCCTACAACAACAACTTCACAGCTTCCTTGCCTGCTAAGGGCATTTTGGGGTTAAAAAACTTGAGGCACTTGGATTTGGGTGGGAATTTCTTCTATGGTGAAATCCCAAAAGGGTATGGGGTTTTGGTTGGCCTAGAGTACTTGTCACTTGCCGGGAATGACCTCCATGGGAAGATTCCCCAAGAACTTGGGAATCTCACAAGCTTGAAGGAGTTGTACTTGGGGTACTACAATGTCTATGAAGGTGGGATTCCAATGGAGTTTGGGAAGATGGAGAATCTTCTTCACTTGGACATGTCAAGCTGTGGATTGGATGGAGAGATTCCTTCCCAATTAGGGAATCTCAAGAATCTTGACACTCTGTTTCTCCACATTAATCTCCTCTCTGGTTCCATCCCAAGAGAGCTTGGGAACCTCTCTGCTTTACAGTCTCTTGATCTTTCAGACAATTCCTTGACTGGGGAAATCCCACCTGAGTTCAGAAGCTTCAAGAATCTCCATCTCCTTAACCTCTTCATGAACCGGCTCCACGGGTCGATCCCAGATTTCATTTCCGGGTTCCCGGAGCTCCGGGTGCTCGGGCTATGGAAGAACAACTTCACCGGAGTTGTTCCCCGGAGCCTGGGCCGGAACCAGAAGCTCCGGGAACTCGATTTGTCGTCGAACAAGCTGACCGGGACCATCCCGGAGAACCTCTGCTCGTCTAGGCGGCTGAGAGTGCTGATTCTGTTGAAGAATTTCTTGTTCGGGCCGGTCCCGGAAGATCTGGGCTCGTGTTCTAGTCTTGTGAGGGTGAGATTGGGAGATAATTACTTGAATGGGAGCATCCCGGAGGGGTTTCTTTACTTGCCGGAGTTGAATTTGGTTGAGCTTCAGAATAATATGGTGACCGGAGCTTTGCCGGAAAACAGGGGTGTATCTTCGAAACCGGTTTCTTTGGGAAGATTGAATCTTTCTAACAATAAGATTTCCGGTTCTTTGCCGGTGTCACTTTCCAATTTCACTTCCCTGCAGATTCTCCTCCTCGGCCAGAATAATTTCTCCGGTCCGATTCCGGCGTCCGTGGGTGAGCTCCGGCAGGCTCTGAAGATTGACCTGAGTGGGAATTCTCTGTCCGGAGAAATCCCCGTCGAGATCGGGAACTGCGTTCATCTCACTTACTTGGACTTGAGCCAGAACAATCTTTCCGGGCCATTCCCGACCCAGATTTCCGAAATTCGGATCTTGAATTACCTCAATTTGTCGAGGAACCACCTGACCGGCGACTTCCCCAAGTCCGTCGGGACAATGAGGAGCCTTACGGCGGCTGATTTCTCCTTCAACGACCTTTCCGGGAAGCTGCCGGAATCCGGGATCTTCAACGCCACGTCTTTCGCCGGTAACCCTCGCCTCTGCTGGCCGTTACTCAACAACACCTGCAATTTCGCCGTCGTGTCCTCCCAGCCCGGAAACTCCCTTGCAGCCGACTTCAAGCTCGTATTCGCCGTGGGCCTCTTGCTCTGCTCCCTGGCTTTCGCAACGGCGGCCATAATAAAGGCCAAGTCTTTCCAGAAAACCGCCTCCGGCGGGTCCTGGAAACTGACCTCATTCCAGAAGGTGGATTTCACGGCGGAGGAAGTGGTGGACTGCGTCAGAGACGGGAACGTGATCGGGAAAGGAGGAGCAGGGGTGGTCTACCACGGAAAAACCGGGAACGGGTCGGAAATCGCCGTGAAAAAGCTCGCCGGATTCAACCGGAAATCCAAGAACGACCACGGGTTCCGGGCGGAGATCGAGACGCTGGGGAACATCCGGCACCGGAACATAGTCCGGCTGCTGGCGTTCTGTTCCAACAACAGAGACACCAACCTGCTCGTCTACGAGTACATGAAGAACGGGAGCTTGGGCGAAGCACTTCACGGCGGAGGTGGGAAAAAATGCGGCGGCGGGATGATGATGAGCTGGAACCAGAGGTACAAGATCGCGGTGGAATCGGCGAAGGGGCTGTGCTATCTCCACCACGACTGCTCGCCGTTGATCGTGCACAGAGACGTGAAATCGAACAACATTCTTCTGGATTCGAGCTACGAAGCCCACGTCGCCGACTTCGGGCTGGCGAAGTTCTTGGTAGACGGCGGCGGCGCCTCCCAGTGCATGTCGGCGATCGCCGGCTCCTATGGCTACATCGCCCCTGGTACGTACTCTGTTTTTCTCTTTCAAAACTCTCTGCATGAATTGCATGTTGCGTTCTCTTCTCCACTTTGTTAATTACATTGACTTGCCTACTCAAAACTAATGAAAAGGCCTAATTAATAAGTTTTAAATTTGTTGTAGATAAAAATATAATGTTTCATCAAATAAATAATGGAAATATAGAAATAAATAAATAAATATTTTGGTAATTTTTAAATAGTAGTGTTTAAATCATTTAGGAACACAGAAAACTAAATTTTACTCCCTCCGTCCAACAATAAAGTTTTCTTTCACTATTCACAGGTTAAACTTTATTCACTTTGTTGGCCTATTTTTGTATCTTATTTGATAAAATAATATAGTCATGTCACCTCTAGTTTGTATATCTTTTCATGTAGTTTTTAAAAATGTAATTTTTATTTTTTAATTTCATACCATATTTCATATAAAATAATTTAAAAATAATTTCAGTCAAACATCGTAATGCGCAATGAGAACTTTATTTGTGGACGGAGAAAATATTTCATATATTTGTTGCATGTAAAACTTCTTTTAATATGCAATGTAAAATTTTATTTTATAAAAAATTAATATTTCCTCCGTTCCAAAATATTTATGCAGTTTGACTTTTTTGAGTCAAACTAAACAAACTTTAAGCTTCAATTAAATAAAAATCATAAAGTATTTTAATATAAAAATGACTTTATTAGATTTATTGTATTGAGAACTTTCAAAATTATATTTCATTAAACTAATATGTAATATAAACTAAGAGTAATTGGAGTTCAAAGTTTGTCAAGTTTGACTCAAAAAAGTCAAACTGGACAAATACTCTAGGACGGAGGTTGTAATACGTAACAAAATGAATTTTAAAAAAATACGTCAACAAAAAAGTTTAAAATTAACCGAATTGAAATATATTTAGATCTTGATATCGAGATAATATTAGTTTTACCTCTATCTTGAATTAAACGTTACACTCCATTATTTACTAATCAATTTTTTTACTTGTATAATTTTTGATAATAATTTGTTAGAATAATGTAGTTGTGTCACCTTTTGCTTTATAGACAATTATTTTGAGGTAGTTTTTTACTCCATCCATTTCAATGGGCAGATTAAAAAATGGAGAGTTTACTATATAATAGTGTATTATTTGACTTTTCTAAGTTAAAGTTTATAAAATTTGACCCTAAAAAATTTGACCTCAAAAAATTTGACCTCAAATTTGCATAAACCTCAGTATGTAAGGAGTACTAAAAATATATTTTCTCCGTCCCTAAATAAACTTTCTCTTTCGTTTTTTATTTGTGTAACACCCTAATCCGTCCAGGTCTGCAGCCCCTTTCGGACTAAAGTATTTAACTTGGTAATCGTAAAATTTAAAACTTTTCAAACACACTTTATTAATCTCAATAATATTTTTCATAACATATACAGTACGGAGTATTTAACAATATTGCGGAAGCGAACTTAATATTGACATATCATAAATCATTTCAAAACTTGTCACATCCATCCCGACAATCTCGCCCCATCTGCCGCCAGGATCACATTAATCTTTCTGTTTACCTGCGTGTAGCAAATAAAACATACTACACGCTTAGCGGTGAAGCTGAGTAAGCATATCTAAAACGTCGAACATCCACATAAATTGAATTTCAATTCATAATCAACCATTTGATATCATGCACACAATATATGGTTCAAACATTCAAAATATTTTCAATATTTTATTCCAAGTCATTTGATATTCAATATATATCAATAATGCTCTTAAATTATTCTTAATCTAAGGCCACATCATTTTATAACAAGCTCTTAGCTATTCCTAGTCTAAGACAACATTTCTAATCAGGCCCTTAAACTATAAATAGTTTAATGCAGAACACAAGAATCGATAATCCACCCTATGAGTCATGTGGATTACGTACCAACCGAACAGTGAACTGTCGGGTGGGTGATATCCGTTCTGGATCCCGTACGTACGTTTTAACCCGAAATATGAATTGGTCAAGTAGGTATATCTTAGAGTTCTTCTAGATATCCTTAA